TCCCTTCTGTATGGAGGTCAGTGTAACTAATCACTACTCCATATGAGCGGCATGTGAATTCGTATATGTATTTAGCATTTATTAACTTTGGTCGCAAAAATTTGTTTTTGAAACCTATATTACAACTAGTATTGGCATTTACTTCGGGATGCCGTGACTGAAGTTTCTTTAAACTTGTATGTACTTTTATTGTTTACACAGTTCTATTGTATCACTATGCCTTTTTATCAAGCTAAAAGAACATACTATGTATCTTAAGACACTCCTGCTCTGACATTTTATTCTGCCCTTAAATTTTTTCGATTAAAGCCTTTAAATTTTTTTCGATTTTTCAATTTTCTTCTCAGTTTATGCGATGTTTTTTTTTAGCACCAAAGGTGGTTTTAGTCTCGAAACGCACTTTTTGTTCGTCTCACTTTTGTGTCCGAATCACTCTTCAAATTCTTGGCACCAAATGTTATTGCGATGTATTATTTAAAAAAAAAAAAAAAATAGCGAATAATTGTATGTATGTATGTTCCTCTCACTGTGGAAAAACAACGGCGCCTAGAGTCACCCGAATTTTTAATACACGTATTTAGCTATCCAAATATGGGCATCTTGCTCTAATTTTGAATTTCGAATTTGTTTCCGATTTATTTCATATTTTATACAACTTTAACAATTTTTTATTTAACAAACTCAAGGATTTGAAAGGGAGAAGTGGCATCACTGTTCCAACTAAAACATTTTTGTCTCCAGAGCGCCGGACTGTTTCCAAACTGTAAGTTAATATTTATCTTTCAATTTTAATCCACAAATTCGGTTACTTGAAAACAATGTGTTGCGTATGCCTGAAATATAATACTTATTATCTTCACGCACCAGCGTGTTACCATTATGTGTGAGATATTAAACTTCCAGATTTAATCGTTCTGTTACTCCCTAGCAAACCATGTGACTGAAAACACAGTAATAATAAACACAGCTCTTACAAATATTTTTTTTCCATTTTTAGTACAATTTAGATAATAAGATGTGTGATTATTAAGTATTTTAAGAAATGCACTAGCCAAACTCATTAAAATCATTATATACGTCTTCTTTTTTTTTATGATAATCGTTTAGGCGTCTCACTGCACATTTAGCAAAGTCTCAAAGAAATAATCCAGCGAACGTAAAGCAGTGTATGACAAGGCTAAAACTTCATCGGGAATGCTAAAGATATGCTGTTTTTAAATATTTTGCGATTTTGCTCTTGATTTTTATGTGCATTAAGTGCGAAGAAAGCCATGCTTAATAATAAAGCTAGAAAGATCAAAAAATAATTTTAGCAGAGGATAATACAAGAACAGATTCGATATAAGGTACTTTCTCCCTCCCTTTCTGCATGCCTTCGTGGTGTAACGGTTAGCACACTCGGCGCGTATTCGAAAGGTCCCCTAGAAACTCCAGTCGCCCTTTAAAAGGGGAAGTATATAAGGTATTTCACCCACTTTCTTAGCAGGCCTTCGTGGTGTGGTGGTCTGCACCCTGGGCCCGTATTCTAGAGGCCCGTGGTTCGAGTCCCAGCGAAGGCATTGCTCAATTTTCATGTCTCTTGCTTCAAAAAAAGAAACCCCTAATGACTCTACAGTGGCGCTGGAACTAAAAAGGTGGTGGATGATGATTCTTCACCACCAGGATTTGGGAATTTTGTTCCCTAATCCCCAGTCGCCCTTTAAAAAGGGGTAGCACACGCGACGCATATTCGAGAGGTGCAGCTTCGAGTCCTGGCGAGGGCATTGCTTATTTCATGACTTCTGCTTTATAAAAACCTAAAGACTCTACAGTGACGCCCTACTAGGGACAGTAGCCCCCGAACTAAAAGGTGGGGGGGGGTGTATATGAGCTATTTTTTCCCTTCTTTTCTGCATGCCTTCGTGGTGTAACCGTTAGCACACTCGACGCGTATTCGAGAGGTCCAGGTTCAAGTCCCGACGATTTCTTCCTTTTTTTCGTTGGGACTCACCACTTCGGAGTAGATCCATTTTTGGAAATACATATTTTATAAATAATCCTTTTTTCGATTAAAAAATGATAGTTTGTCATATATGTTGCCTAATCTCAGATGAATGCTAATTTAACTGTATTAAAGTATTTTCACTCATTCGTTTTTTATTACATTTGCAAAACCTGAGATATTGGTGGGATGTATTTTTATAAAAAAATACTTAAGAATACGCCGCAAAATATTTAAGCTGTATTTTTAATTCAGATTTAAATCATTAAATTTTGAAACTCTTCAATCATTTATCTTCCAGATATCAGACTTATTATTATTGAAGCTGTGAGTCTAACAGCCATATTTACATGGTGCAAGTTTTCAATACAAATACGATCTACTTTTTGTTATCATAATTTATAGGTGTTCCTTGTCACTGATCTAAGAACAAATACATGTTTGTGTTTCTGGTTATATAAATGCATCTACCAATGATAGAAGGAGCTTATCTGTCGGGGAAAAACTGTACATTTGCAATATTTCCAAATTAAATGATAGAAGTTCATCAATTAAGTTCAAGTATTATCAGCCATAGTTTAAGAATTCATGACAAAAGTATTTTAGCTAATGCATGAAAGAGACGACTGCTAAGTATAGATGACATCAAAAATGAAAATTTAAACAAAAAAAATCATATTGCAATGATATGCTAGTGAAATTTGGCCTGATGGAAACTAAACTGATGCAGGAAGTGAAACTTAAAGTATCGTTGGAAAAAACTGATTATCTTTCAGCTCGTTTAATGATAAGGCGATATGTAAAAGCATAATGATGTTAACCAAACTAATTATTTATGTCAATTAACTAAAATTTTAACTAGCGTTACATTAACACGTTGACAGCACTATATTAGTACAATGTCTGTTAACTAATATTTACAATGTCAGCCCTCCAGAGAGTTTTTAAAACTTTAATTAATGTAAATGAAAAATCTTCACCAAGTCTTTTATAGTTATTAGTATAGATATCTCCTTTCTTCTAACAACAGTCTACTCTACAGTCGTCACATAACTAAGACTATGGTCAATCTCTTTTCTTCTAGCAACAGTCTACTCTACAGCCGTTACACAACTAAGACTGTGGTCAATCTCCTTTCTTTTAACAACAGTCTACTCTACAGCCGTTACACAACTAAGACTGCGGTCAATCTCCTGTCTTCTAACAACAGTCTACTCTACAGCCGTTACACAACTAAGACTGCGGTCAATCTCCTGTCTTCTAACAACAGTCTACTCTACAGCCGTTACACAACTAAGACTGTGGTCAATCTCCTTTCTTCTAACAACAGTCTACTCTACAGCCGATACACAACTAAGACTGTGGTCAATCTCCTTTCTTCTAACAACAGTCCATTCTACAGCCGTTACACAACTAAGACTGTGGTCAGAAAATTCATCTTTTGCTGGTACCCACGAATGGTCGAGCAGTAAGGCAGCATAGCACTTGTTGTTCGACCCAGTTAGTATCCTGACCGACCCACTGGCTGGGTGGGAATTACGCGCCTTTCCCCAATGTAACGTGTATGCAAACAAATTTCTCTTAAAACGTCCTTTATAAAGGCACTACTTTTCTTATGTCAATTAACACTCGAGGGATTTTCTGTAATCCAATTCAGTCCGTCATTTGTTGAAACAAAACTTCTATTAAAATAAAAACCCATCATTGGACGTAATAACAAAATATTGTATTCCAGGCTTTTAAAAACCCATTAAGAGTTTTAAATTATCTGTACTGAAAAGAAGCAAATAAAATAAACTCGACATCTAAAGTATTTTTCTGTTCGGGTCACAGTGTGGTAGACCTCTTTAATTAATACTTTCAGGGTATTGATTAAGAGCTCTTCCCGAGAACAAGATAATTCTATATTTAAGAATAAGAACTTCATTTCATATAATTAATGTTCTTCCTTAAATTCATAGTGGTTTAAAATGCAGTTAGTGTTATTTTGGCATTTAAAAATATTAAGCGGAACGAAATCAGTTGTAAAAGTTATCAATAATTACCATAGTAACATGCTTCTCTGATTTTGTTGTCAATTAAGTGTTTTGGTGAACATATAGTCATATGATATAGGATAACGAACACAAATATATTAGCATGTAATTATTTCTTTCTCCTCTTGTATATGATATAGAGATTGCTTGCCATGAGAATATCTTAAAATAATTTGATAACTTCTCTTTAATATTTTTATGAAGCTTTCAGCTTATTTAATATTTTCAACAGAGATAGTTATTTTAATATTTAGTTTAATACATCCGATTTTGAATAAAACTGCTTTTTTGCTTTTTATTTAGAAGTTCGATGAGTATACATCACCATGTTATTTTTAGTGTGATATGTTGTTCAATGTTTATTACATTTTACATATTAAAAACACAGAGAATGCCATAATATTTTCATAATTAGTTAAATAAGCTTCATCTTCATAGAGACTAAATTTGTTTAAACATTACTCATTTTGATTACTATTTCTTTTCACGTGTTTACTCTGCTGCAGAAAAAAATTTTCACATTACTTTACAATGAGTCATTGCTTTCCATTAATAATTCTGTAAATTTTAAGCATTTCCTTAATAATTCTGTAAAGTTACATGTTTAATTTTCTAAAACTGTGTTTTAAATATTTAGAAGAAATAAAACGTTTATTTTCATTAGGCTATCTAAGGAAACAAATCACAACATGTATTTAAATTACAAACAGTATCGTAATTAAAATTGAAAAGACGTCATTTTCTGCTTTTTATTCGGTATCAAAGTAAAGTAACATTCGCAATCAGTAGCTAGGAAAATTTAAAAAGTTCTTCTTTATCTTATTTTAATAAAAGTTTATAAACACAAAGTTTATGTACTTAGAATCTATGGCAATTTTAATATAGGTTATTATAAGTAGACTGGACTTTAAAGAAATTTTCACAATGTTTACATTATATCTGTATTTCATAGATAAAAATAAGTAGCAAAGTTTCTTTTTCAGGCCGTCCAGGGGCAGTCTTCCACAGACCAAGACAACGATTGGATTTCCCAACTGCAGTCATCCTCTTCTCATACAACCTATAGTAACAGCCATTACCTTATTCACACTAACCGCCCTCATAACAGCACATTTCATTTACATTCTTCAGTTTCAGCTGATGCTAATAATGATGTTGTGGCTTTAGTCCTCTACGCTGTCTTTTCAGTTCTTGGTACTACAGTGAATATCTTTGAAATCAGCTCTTTGATCATTCAAGAAAATTTAAGACATCATGGCAATGTATTTCTAGCCAACCAAGCTTTGGCCAATCTATTGATTACAATTTTAGGTTTCCCAGCATCATGTATAGCTATTCTTTCCAACACTCACAATTACAGTTTTGTGTGCTACTGGCAGTGGTACAGTGCCCTAATATCTTTCTTTACTACTACCTTGAATTATTTCTTTATAGCTATTGAAAATTTACTCAGGGCTTGTCGCAAGCGCTCCAGAAACAGAAATGACGGTGCATATTCTTGCTGCTGCAGCGTGCAAGTTGTTGTGTTTGCTGTATTTTTTTGTTGGATTGCTGCCGCTGCATGGGTTGCAGTACTGGTTATTTATGATAATACCCAAGATGTCTGTAATCGAAGATACGGATACAGCATAACATTTCTAATCTTTCTTATTCCCATATCACTTACTGTGCTTACATTTTCGTTGGCAATTTATCGATATAAAAGGCATTTAAAAGAATTGGAGGCTAGACAGTGTCTAGAAAGCAGAGAAGAAAACTTGCACAGGCAGTTATTTAAGAGCAATGCCTTAGCTTACATGCTATTTCTTTGTTTCTGGATGCCCTTTATCATTGCTGTATCAATATCAGCATCGGAAAACATACAAGCAGTGCCATGGTCAACACGCCCTACAGCCGCTACGCGAACCAAAACAAATCCTGTTGCTACATCCACAAATAGTGTTGAAACACTGCTAATAATAGCTCAGTCTTACAGCTGTTTTTGTGGATTAGTCTACGCTTTTACTAACAGTTCCTTTGGGCAAGCATTCATTTACTTGACAAGGTACTTCTGCTGTAAAGCTCATCCTGAGTTCACCAAGAGTACCTTTCAAGAGAAGCCCAGGGGTACAGTTAGAGTACACATCGGAATGGAGACTCGCGTTGGAGAACGAAGTGCTAGAGCCAACAAACTGATGGCTGTCATGATGCACGATAGTCCAAGAGGAGGAAGGACTGGTAACCATTACCTCTAAGAATATGAGCTCCCTCATGTTGTCTGAAGCTTCCTATAGCCATAAACCACTTGTGTGCCGTTTGATAACACGATAACACCGGGGAAAATGTTTATGTTCATATTCAGCATTATTTTGGATAAACATTTAGAAATGCTGATGAAGATATAATCTATTTTTAAAATGGATATACCAGAAAAAGAGATCCTCGCACAAAGTATTACTCACATTTTATTGAATTAAGCACTAGAGCAGAATAATTAACAAATAGAGAATAGAAAACCTATAGTACTGGAAAGTAGAAACAAATGATTTAATCCATACGTGGCGAACTTAAAATAGTACCATATCAAAGAAAGTAAAACAGAAACACTTTACTCTTGCCTGTGAAGTGTCCTTAATGATTTTTTTTCTCTGAAACATATCGACAGTTCAAGGCAAGACTTGAAGCAGCGGCACAATAGTTGCCTGATTTTTGACTTTACATAACTTTATTCTCTAAAAATAACTCACTAGAATGAAAATTTCTATAACAAATACAAGAAAAATCATATGACAAAAAAAAAAAAAAAAAAAAAAAAAAAAAAAAGCAATTTTCGCTCAGAAAAGAAACTATGCGAAGTAAAGATGAGTGAATTTTTTTATTATTAAGTTATCGATTTACACAATATTAAGAGAAGCACATTTGATACAGCTTAAAAATATTCACATAAGAGCTTGTACTTTTTGCTAAAAATTAAATTTAAGATAATAATGAATAATACTTAAGAAATTTATAATTGTTGATTTTTCCTTAATATTTCGAAAATAACCAGTTCTTCTAGTTGTAACTTATTTAGAAGTTAATTTACTTTGTGTGAAAGTTGTGCTTAAAAGAAGTCTTAGTTTTCAATCTATGATTTATAACATCTCGCAGCTTAATCTTCAAAATAAAAGAAGAAAACTAAAACAAAAACTTGTGTTAAAATGTTTTACCGAAAGATTTGGACGCTATCGTCAGATAAATAATTTTAAGAGTTAAGTCTTTGGGAAATTTACTGTATAAGTTTGACAACGTAATAGTTATTAATAGTTCAAATACATCGAATTTTCAGTTTTCTGCAAGGAAAGCTTTCTGGATCGAAAATGTAATGAAAAGGTTTCGTGTGGTATTGAAAGCTATTCTTGTTAAAAACAGAATGTGAATAATACCTTCAGAATGTGGTACTTATAAGTATACGAAATAAATTAACAAATAAACGAAAATAATAAGCTTTTAAGAATGATTTATTATGCAGTATGCATTGACCTGTATTTAATATCTGAGCAGCAATTAAAGCAAATTTAAGCTTTGACCTGCATTATCATACAGAAAAAAAGGAAACGGCGATATTTTTCGTGTGTGTGCATGCATGTGGGTAAAATTACGAAAGCGCTGTCGGATGTGAGGCTTGCAAGATGTCTTTTATTCAAGAAAATTGGTATAATGTATGAATGGATTATTATTAGCAGCAACAGTATTATACATATAACGTAATTAAAAAGAATTCTCTAAAAATTATTTGTTTTCCATATAAAGGAATAAAAATTCTTTTCCACACTTCTGAAAAGTTTGGAAACACTTATCCAGTAATATCTTTCCTTATTATTATAAAGAAAATATTATCACGCCCCTGTGAGACAACACTAAATGGAAAGTTAGGAGTAAAAAAGAGACTTGATAAGGAAATCGTGGAATTTAATACCATGTCAATATGCTTAATACTGATCCAAAAGTAATAAATATTTGAGCATTGTTACGTGTAGATTTTGTTTCTCAGTTTTCCAGGAAGAGTTCGCCTTGAAGTCTCACGCAAGAGTAAGCTTAATTAGTTGAAAATATACGTATCTATTTGATTTCGAAATAGTTTGTTTTTACTGCATATTGTTTTTAAGCCTTTTGAACTTTTTCATCAGGAAAGAATAATGAAGCTTTTTTATTGCCAATCTTCCTAATGAACCACAAAATCTTCAAATTGAAAATGAACATAATTACTGAAGAAAACGTATACAACTAAAGCAAATGTTTTTCAGGAAATATTTTTTACTTTTCCTTCAGAAATAGGAGAACTAGATATGGTTTTCTATACAGATGAAATAAAAAAATACTGTATTGAGCAAGAAAATGAATTCAGAAAATGATAACAGCAGAGCAACTATAAGACGAATGTTAAAAATGTAATTTTTAGCTCAAATAACATGCTGTTAATATTTACGAGTATTTGAATTGAAGGTAGATAAATACTGAGCGAAAATTCAGAATGAATTTTTTCCACACATTCTTATTTAAAAATCCTCTCTCGCGCTTAAAGAATATTAAATTTATAAATAAAATTTCTAGTATGCATGCAACAATTCCTTAAAGAAATCAAGTCATATACTAAAGATAATTTACTTTTCTTTCTTATCAGCTACATAATAAATCAAAATAAATAAAACTGTTCTGTATTCAAGTACAATTTAAATTCTTATTTATTACGCAGTATCAGTATCACTCATTAGCAGCAACATTCGTAATTATATATGGATATAATTATGCACGGTTGAACTAATACATGTGTTGAACTCTTTTGCTGAATAAAGGGAAATCTTGCTTTTGGATGAACAAAAGTAAAAATTTGTATATTAGTTTTATATAAATAATCTATATTAAAACTGCTTATCTAACTGTACCAATTGTGTTGTCAGAATTTCAAATAAAATAGAAACGGCTATCGTTCTACGTAACAACATGGAAACAGCGTAAAACTATGAATTATTGCGATATGTGATAAACATGTCAGTTCAAATATATAAAAGTTTAGAATTATGGTCCGACGAAAAGAACTTATATAAATTAATCAAAATAAACCGTAAAATATAATTTATTCAATGATTATTGGCAGAAATGCAAAATTCTGCAACAAGCATTGGTATTACAATACGTTCTAACCGCTCAGTTTGCATCTACGTTCAATTCAATTTAAATATTGTGCTTTTTGTCTTAAAAATTTGGTTCACTTCACAACTGTTATATTTCCATATTTTTATTCTTGAAATTATATTCCTCAAAAGTTTGTTAAGTTCAAAAATAAGTACTTTTGAGATTGCTACTTTGCAAATTAAAATATTTGATACAGCCTTTCAGACACTGATATTGAAACTGTGCTGAAACTGTTACTTGATTTCTCTACCTAAATTAAACTGCTATGTGTTTGATATTTTTATTCTTTCATTGCGTAACATAAATTAAAAGAAATATTCAAAATAGCTGTCAACAGCTATTTTTATCACTTTACAGTTCATATCAGCTAGTCTCCAAACTAACTGCGGTTAATTTGATATTACTGATTGCTTACAGGTAAAGTGATTTCTTCCTCATAATGAAATAATAGGCACCAATTTTACAGGAAAGAAAATGATTTTTATTTATGATGTGAGGTTTTGTCGTTGTTTACAAGAATTCTTTGCCAATTATTTTTATTAAAATTTCCTAAAGGAAATAAAATCCGATACTGCAAAAGAAGCTTTACTTTTTCAACTAAAACAATTTCAAACAAAATTTAATAATTAACTAATACAATGACAAAAAACTTGATTACAGCCTTTTCGTACATTCTAATATGACATTTTATTGATTTAATATGCCAATAAATTATTTTTATGTGCAAATATTCATCTTCGCAAAGGACTAGGCATAAATAATAGTAGCATTAATTGAATCGAAACTAAAATCAGTTCTCCTGATCTGTCTCTTTATTTGATTTAGAATCTGACTTTATTTATCCCTGAATTTGTTATTTTCCTCTTATTAATATAGCGCTAGCGGAACTAGCAAGAGAATTTATTTAAAAAGCAGGTATATTTCTTAAACTAGAACGTTAATTTCACAAATTTTTCTTATTATTGTATTATATTTTTATATGCAGAGAAAGTAATGATTAATACTGAAAACTTTGGCATGTCTCGCTTTATAAGATTTAATATTTTGTAAAAGAGTCGAACTACATTGAGTTTCACATCAAATATTTTAATTAGCAATAGCTATCCTTGGTGATTTTACAATATTATTCCATTTGAGATGCACCTTTTATTTATAGTTATATAAAACAGGGTGCGGCAGCGTTCATAGTAGGTATTAAAAACACACCATAAGGCATAAACTGTATTTTATTTATTACCTCTTATGTCAATTAATAGTTAAAGGTATGCCATTTACTAATGTGTAAGTCATTGCCCATTGCGTGGATTACTTTTTGAATATGATGTCTGTCAAATGATGCCCCTTCTGCACAACACATTCATCTAAGCGGCGTTGGTAGCTTGCCATAACTCGGCGTAACGTATTCCTTGGGCCATTGCCGATGGCAGTTTTGATGCGATCCTTCAACTCAGAAATTGTGGCACAACGTGTTCGGAAAACTTCTTGCTTCAGGTGGCCCCAAAGGAAAAAGTCTGCACATGAAAGATCAAGTGAGCGAGGCGGCCAGGAAATGTCACCAAAACTGGAAATTACTCTACCTGGAAATGTCTGTCGCAATGGTCCGTCCATCTGGAACTTTCCCATGACGTCCCAAGTTGAAATGTTGCCGAAATAGACGATGGGTAGCAATAACATTCTTGAAATAACTTTCAGCAGCAAAGGGACGATGCTGAGCACTCCACCGATCCATATCACTGTCACTCTCGAAATGGCAGCTCATTAGTACACGAATACAGCACGAGTTGGCGCGCATTCATGCAGTACGTCATTGTACTACGCAAATCAAATTACGCTATGAACGCTGCCGCATCCTGTATATACCAAAATAGACGTAATCAAATGTACCATCATTTGTAATCGTATTATGATTTGTCAATTTGTCTGATGTTATACATGTGACAACTTGTATATAGTATGTTGAATAATAGTTAGTACACATATATGTAGTTAGATACATGTAAAATACAACACAAAATTATAATTACTTTTAAGTGCAGCAATAATTTTATACTGTTAATTAATACAGCTGAAGGAAATACTTAATGCAAGTTTCTACGTTACTGATTAATTCCCTTAATCTTCTTTTACAGCAAAAATATAATTTGATTGAAAATACCTACATTTAAATTAATTTTCCTTTATTATAATTAAAGCATCGAACGAATAAATCATTTATATCAATCACTCATATTATAAACATGAAAGTAGATAAAAATTTAAGTGTGAACAAAATAAGAATTCACTGCCAAAATAAGTGATCAAAACATATATTTTTTAATATTGTTTCTGTTTGCCCGTTTATTGATTCTTCTTTAATATAAGGAATTATTATTTGTATAGCATTTGTATAGATTGGTTTTATATAGTCCCTTTTTTTTTACTAAAATGTGGATAATATGCTGCATAATGCTTTTCATAAGTCCAGTTTAACTTTTAATGGATGCCCGGCATAAATGCACTTCTTACCGAATTCCTAATCATTGTCCTCAAGAATATTATTTAGTTTATTTTGGTTTTTTAGATAAATGCTATCTTTTTTTAATTTAAAACGACTTACAGTTTAAATCATGTTGAATGAGCTTCCTTTAACGTTTAGTTAAGCATGTCAAAAAGTAAAAACACTTTATTACTGAAGTTTTGTTCCCCTT